TTTCAGAAGCGTAAAAATGAGTGTCTCATTCATGATCAGAGCACCGAATAACCCCAATCTAGGGAAAAGAACTAAAACGCCAAAGTGGCGCCAGCGCCAAAAGTGAATGCGGGTGTTAAGTGAGTTATGGGGGGCCGCAGAGGAACCAGCGGCGGTGCGGCTCTACTCCATCTGCCAGGCGCGATGGCACTAACAATAAGCCCAGGCCTGGGTAGAAATGAATAAGCTATAAACAGTGCGGCTTGTGATTTCGCACAATCTAACTTTTGGCTTGGCCCTTTTGGCCCTCCTTCCTAGGCTCAGGCTTAATGCCACCGCGCTTGAAATAAGTGCAGAGCACCGTGCTCCCGCATGGTACCCCCACCTCCCCCCCCCCCCAACTCATCCAGCACCCAAATAACATAATTGTTACCAGGGTTAACCCCATAGCCAATGCTACGACGAAATCTGAAATCTTGAGATTTCGGGGGTCAATAGTTAACAGTGCCGAATCTCAACTAAGTCCAACTGAGAAAGCAACATACATCGCCAGAATCGTCATCATCATCCTTCCTCTTATCTCTTCCCATAGCTGTAGAGATAGAACTGCTACTTGTTCACTGCAAATCAAATTGAAAACAACGCAGATAATAGGCTGGCAACAGCCACCACGACTCGACAACTTTGAAACTGAGCAAACGTCACCAAGCCGACTACAAATTACAACCCAACATCCAAAATGAGCTGCCAAGTGGTACTAGTGAATGCGCTTCACAAGAGGAAAGAGCAAAATATCATAAACATAAAGCAAGGGAAACCCCAAGCAAACAAAACAATGTGAGAAGTTGCACACTTTTCAAACTGAAACAGCGTGCTAAACTTTGCCGTCATATTACTTGTGTACTCTTGTATCACGTACAATATGACCGATTACTGTAATTTTATTACGCTGCAGCGCTTGCATTTTTGAGACCGCCCCATTATCGAGTGGTATTATCTTGCAGCTGCAAAGTTTCACGGTTTATTTAACAGCTTAGTACATTTTTTATTAATCAGTTTTTCATCGAACCACATGGTCAGCAACAGTTCTCATTGAATTTTACATTATTTTATAAACATTATTGTGTTGTTTAAGCGAGAGCTTAGTTGCATGTTTTTCGTTGCCATTTTGATTTTGATTTCTTGACGTCGTTCCTCTTTAAACGTGAAACCGTATGAGGTCTTATTCAGAAAGGGGCATGTGGTGCGACAGTTCATATTGCATGAAGTAATCCACTTTTTTCAGGGGAGGGAAGCTCCGGGGTGGGTGTAAAAGTTTAAGCGAAATGGTTCACGCACCCCGGGATTCCCTCCCCTTGCAAAAATTGGAATTTCTGTAGCCGGCAAGAACTGTCACACCACATGCCCCCCCCCTTAGGGTCAACCCTACGTTGGTACAAGTACCAACGGGGGGTCGTACTTGGTTTAGCTTGGAGGGGGGGGGTCGTACCCACTTTAGTCGCTTGAAATCACGTGTGGGATTGAGGTGAAACTAAGATTTCGTGGGTAGTAGGCTGGGCGAGTGGAGGGCGCGCAGGATAAAAATTTGCCGTTTCAGCGGGCGTATATACCCCCCCTAGAAAAGGAAGTAGTGGGAGTATAGGTAAAAAATGGGTTGAAATGGTGGAAATAGAAGGAAATTTTCGGAGATATTTACCGTTTCAGAGTGACTATATACCCCCCCCCCCCCCCCGCTCGACGGCATTTTTGGAGGAAAAAGTGGGCGGGTTTGGTGGGTTGAGTGGTATCAGAATAAAGTACTATAGAGACGATGATGGTGGTCGAGGTGTCGAAAAGGGGGTCGTATCAAATCCACCTTGGGGGAGGGGGGTCGTAAAAATTTTCAGAAAAGTAACAACGATAGGACCGACCCTGCCCCTCACTGGATGAGACCCACCGTATGTTCTCGATGTGAATTGCAAGATGCAGGGGGGGGGGGAATGTGTAGTAGGAACGACACAAAATTTCAAATTACCATTAAAATAGCGACTTCAAATCGCTAGCTGTGTCTACTTTTGTGAATGAAGCGACTATTTGGAGCTGAAGTTGCGTGAACTGTTGGTCTTCGCGCGGTAACTTTCCGTCATCATTTCATTGCAAAAGTTAATACGACAGACTTGTTATCAAATACCATGTTGTTCAGTAATGCCACCTAAAAAGAAATCTCGTGGGGCTACCACCGTTGTCCGTGGAGAGGGTCGAACCACGCGCTCTGCAGCCAAGAAGGTATGTGAAAAGGATCACTGCCTATTTATACTTCCTTGTGACTTTTTTACTCAAAGATATTTGTAATGCGGAATTTGATACAACTTCTAAACTGGCGCGGTTCAGGCTAAATCGGATCATACTGAATCAGAGGGATCAGCATCTTCCGATGAGGAGAAGTCTTTCGATAAAGGCCGCGTAATGAGTGTGCTGAGATACGATTTCGACGATCTATTGACAAGTATGTTTTTCTGTTCCGCTCAAGCGTCATTTTCAGTAACAGAGCTTCTTTCAATTCCGAATATAGTGCATTCCACTTTGAAAAAACTCGTAGCGCTTTACGTCCAAATTCATTTCTGTTCAGTTGAACCTCTTCTCGATCATGTGTGCACTATATAATTGGGAAGCACAGCCATAATTAGAGATTCACTTAGTTACAGTTGTGATTTGTATTGACTAACGTTTTAGATGACCGTTTCGAGCACCCGGAACTCATCTCTAGGATTGATCCGAAGGGTAAGTTCCAAGCTTGAAGTGATGTCTTTCCGTGTTTTTATTTAAATGGCTAATTTTTTCTTTAGAATTTAATCTCGATTACTATGAAAAATCCCGTCTTGCAACACCACTTCTCTTCGATTGCGATGCGCATGAACTCGGGATGAAGTGGGTTTCAATTTCAAGCCAACTTTATTTCACATGTTTGGCTTTTTTACGATTTTATTTTCATTACAATTACTGGTCAATTGTTGAGTTTTGCTTTACAATGTTGCTTTTTTTCATATATTTCACTACCATTTCGTTCCTCCAACATCCTCTCACAATCAGGCTCTTTTAAGGGTTCCGAAAGCTGAAGAGTTCTCGGTTGATGACGTCTTGAGGCTTGTTGGTGGAAATCGTATGATTGAAGTGGTCGAAGTTAGCGGACAAACAAGTGTGAAGATGTGTCTGCAAGATTTCATCGATTATTACAAGTAGGTGTTCAAATCAGTATTATTTTCTAGAAGGCCTTGAATTTCTTTGATAAGAGATGATCAACAGCGTTTGGTTTTTTTTTTTTTTTGAATTCCGAGAGCTGGATTGCCATATTGGAGAAGGGGGCATAGTTTCAGTGAGGTTATCTAGCATAAGGAGGTGGAGTGATGGACTTCTATGGTA